CCAGGGCTCCCCCCGCAATCTTACATCGCTGTTTCCAGCTTGCCCTACGGGCCACGGCCAAACCGTACGACCAACATCCACATCACGGTCAAACGAGACCTTCCCACCCCGGAGCGGAACAGTGGTACCAGCCGTGACGGTGGGCGCAGGAACTGGTTCAAGATCACCGTGAGTGGGGCAGGGGATGCAGGGGTGGGGGTCGGGGCCGGGCGCTTTTCCACGGCGCGGGGATGGGGATCGCGAGACGTCTCTCATGGCGGCGCGGGGACAGCGAGCGTGTGGTTATTGTCACCTCGTCCCTGTCTTATGAGGAACGGCTGAAGGAACTGGGGGTGTTTAGTTTGGAGAAAAGAACGCTGAGGGGAGACCTTATCACTCCTTACAACTACTTAAAAGGAGGTTGTAGCAAGGCGGGGGGTGAGATTTCTCATCCCAAGTGATGGGACAAAAGGAGACAGCGGAAAGTTGTGTCAGGGGAGGTTTAGATCGGATGTTAGGAAAAAATTTTTCACCCAAAGGGGTGTCAAGCACTGAAACAGGCTGCCGAGGGGAAGGGGTGAGTTACCATCCCTGGAGGAATTTAAAAGCTGTGTAGATGTGGCGCTGAGGGACATGGTTTAGTGGTGGGCTTGGCAGTGTGAACGGTTGGATTCGATGATTGTAAGGGTGTTTTCGAAGCTGAATGATTCTATAGTTTATTGTATTAATGATGGGATGGAATTTAACAAGTCACAATGCCAGATTCTGTACCCAGGACGGAGTAACGCCGGGTACAAGGATAAATTGGGAGAGGAGTGGCTGGAGAGCCGCCCTGCAGAAAGGGATCTGGGGGTGCTGGGGGGCGGCAGGCTCCTCGTGAGTGCACCCTGGGGGGCATCAAACACAGCACGTGCAGCCGGTCAAGAGAGGAGATTGTCCCGCTGTATTCAGCGTTGGTGTGGGCCCCAGAAGTTTAAAAAGAAAAGATTTTAAGGTGCTTGAATGTGTACTTGAATGCAGAGGAGGGTGAAGGGCTGAGGGGAATGTTCTGTGAGGAGCGGCTGAGCGCTCTGGGCTGGGCCGGTTTGGAGAGAAGGAGGGTGAGGGGCAACTGCATCGCTCGCTGTGCATTTCTGAGGAGGGGACGTGGAGAGGGAGGTGCTGAGCTCTTCTCCGTGGGATCTAGGGACGGGAATTGTTTAAAGCTGCACCAGGGAAGGTTTAGACTTGGTGTGAGGAAGAGATTTCTTTACCGAGAGGGTGGTTAAACTCTGGAACAGGCTTCCTGGGGAGGTGGCAGATGGCCCAAGCCTGTAGGAC